TAAATATTTTTAATCTTATAATAATAGTTTATTTAACTTTTTTTATTTAAATAGTAATAAGATCATTCTTTATTATTTTAAGTAAAAGTTTTATAGAGAGTTAAATTAAAAAAAGTCAATGATTTATTATTAAAAAAACAGATGTAAAAAGTAAAAAAAAAACTTTTTTATTGAAAACAAGCAAAAAAATTATATAACTCTACTATCGAACTTTTAAAAATGATTTTGTGTTTATTAATATATGATTATTTATAACAATATCATTAATTAATTCAAAATATTAAAAATTTAAATAGCTAATTTTTGATTTTAAAATAAAAAAATAGCTATTAGTTAATCTTTAGATGATCATATTAATTAATAATATTTCTAGATTCATTTATAATTTCAAAAAATATAGAATTTATGAATAACTTGAATCAATGTAAGTGAAAATGTCTTATAACAACAGACTTCATAAAATAGTTCATTACAAAAAAATATTAATATACTTTATAAACTAAAAAATAGATTAATTTTTACTTAGAATATAGTTTAAACCTGTTATTGGTAGTGTTATTATTAATAATAATAACAATAGCTGTCAATTTGAAACAAAAGGGTTTCAGATATTTAAATAAAAAAGGAAGAATAAATTATCATGGAGAAATGTTTTATTAACAAACCCAAAAGGTAAGTAAATAAACCTCATTAGAAGAGGTTAACAAAATCATAGATATATTAAGAAGTAGTTTTAGATTAACTATTTAAATAAATTTTATAAACAAAGATTTTTTCAACTATAAAATAAAAGGTGGCAAGATAGCAACAAACACCATAATGAATATTAAAATTTATTAATATCATCTTTAATCTAATTATTACTTAAAAAATCTTTTTCATTAGTTTATTTACTTCTAAAACATCGATTATAATAATCTTTTAATATTAATAAATATATTAAGTAAATAATCGAATAAAAAATAAACAAAATTGGATGATTTAATAGCATACTAATTTGGTTGTATTCATCGAAATTAGATATTAATGATATAATATTAGCAGCAATAATTATAGAAAATATAATAAAGAATATATTTTCATAGTATTGATAACAATAAGACCTATGTATTTCATCTTCATCATTATGATTTCTTTTAGGACTATTTAAAAAATTGAAATTTTGAGGTTGTTGCGGATTTTGATTGTATGGATGATTCCCATAATTTAAATTGTCTGGTGGATAACCACCCTGTAAGTGTCTATCAACTGGTTGATTATTAAATTGAGGATGGTGTTGACTAGATGGTTGACTCACATAATTTGAGGGTTGTGGTGGATAACCACCCTGTAAGTGTCTATCAACTGGTTGATTATTAAATTGAGGATGGTGTTGACTAGATGGTTGATTCCCATAATTTGAGGGATGTGGCTGATTTCCACCCTGTAAA